CACATCCGCGTTGTCGACAACAGGCGCTGCGAAGTCGACCTTTGTATCGACGAGACATTAGCTTTGTCCGGCTTCGACCAGCTTCCCGTGAAATCGTACCTAGGACGTGGGCTTTATCGAAGATACACACTTCCTGCGACGTCGTTCGAGACATGCCCTCCCAAAATCAACAATGATGCCCTGGTCATCGCAGGGTAAACATACCAGTACAGTGGCATTTGTAGTATCAGGTGGCGAGGGGACATGGTTGTTACGGTCGCCTCAAGCGAAGCTGCCTCGTTGGAGGTCTAAGAAAAAGCCGCGTCCGCAGCCGGTGGAGATCACGGTGTCGTATAATGACCTGATCTATGTCTTAAAGAGACAGTAGTTAGTCGTCTGTACTTTGTCACGAGCGCAAATAATGAGTCATAATCTGCCATCTATGCATATCCTGTGTGATAATAAGTTCCAAAGTGCCTTCTAAAAGACAAAGTATGCAAAAGTGTGGTTGCCCATCATATATCCAAAATCTGTGACATTAATTGTAGTGTGCGTAAATCCTTGTGTTAAATTCATGAAATAGACATAAGATTTGCCCTTACGATATGGTTAAGCATATTTTATAATCCCATTATCATTTACAAATGCCCAATGTGTAAAGCAATCTGCCGGTTTGACAAATAGATACCCAATTTTTATAATACTAATTCACATTTTCTTTCCATTTTACATGCAGAAAAATGGCCCCATGTCTGGGGTGAATGTCGCCGAAGCAAGAAAAACAGCACTAACTGGAGATCTGGTATTGTCGACACGAAGGTGCCTCAGCGCGAGGGAATACGTCTCCTGTGTGAGTGTATAACCGCTAACTCAGTGAGTGAGCGCTTAACGAAACTCGACGTGCTCGTCACGGTGGTTGACTCTATACTTCGAAGTATCTTAATTTCAGTCATCACTAGCCTCCTTTACTGTGAAGGCGCAGCCACTGTGATGACATGCTGAAGATTATCTCGTGCTCTCGTCAAAAATGGAGAACAACGGTCATCCTGCTATTTACGACGCCCTTCCGCTCATCAGGCCTTCAGCTCGCGACTGTTCGACAACGTCTATAGTAACACATGTAGAGCATCTTCTGTGGCAATAACTCTCTCTTCGAGTTCTGCTCTTATAAAGCATTTTCATACGCCAAAACGAAGATACCTCCGCGATATATGCATCTCCGCTCCTCATTACTTGCTAGTCGATCATATATTGTCTGTGAGACCTTCCGCTGCTGACGTGACCTCTCCAGCTGATCTCAACTATGATGGGTCCCTGTGTTCTTAGCGGCTCTACTTGCGATGATACTCTCAGGGGCTGAATAAGAAGGTGAGCTGGGCATTCCTCCACGCAGTATTCCATGAGCTGACGGTGTCACAGCAATCGTGCGGACTACGAGAAGAACCACAAAAACTCGTGTGTTCATAGTCTCCGACATGCACACCTTCGCCGTGGACCTCATGGTCACGTCTACCGCCACCGTGTATGGACCGACATCGACCGTACCTGCCGTTACGACGTTCTCTATCAGTAGTTCAATTGCCATTACGTCACAGACAATAGTATTTTATGTCACAGAAAAACCTCTTGATGGCGACGGAGCGTGCCACTCCAGGGCTGCAACAACGCCGAAAACCGCTCCAGTACCATAGGGGATATACAGGGGTTTCCAGACAAAATCATAATAATTCGACCAGCGGGCCCAACCCCGATGTCCTTGATCCGCTGTATTCACACGAATCGGACGCACCGGTGCTCGGAACGTCTCGAAATGGACGAGCAGCTCCGCAATGTCCGTGCAGGGCGAGAGACCACAAGAATGCAAGAGGACCGCGCGTGCTCAGTATGGAGCAATGACATCACTCCCGTCCCCCTTTCCTCGCGGTACGTTTTGCTTGTACCGACGGCGGATAGATGACGCTCCGCCTAGAGTAACTCATATATATGCACCGCACACATCAGACCTTTATTGACATCTCGCGAACGTACGGCCACTATGTCTTCGTCTACTGCAAAACTTCTGGCTGGGCTGCTTATCGCAACCCAGGTCTTCCCCTGCGCACATGCTGGTGAGCAAATGCCAGCCTGACGATTGCTTGCCGCTAACCCTATTGCGCGTAAGCTCCAGTAGACCCTACGGTCCTTACCACCACGAGCGCTGAATCAACCACTGTCACGATCGCAGGAGAGCCATTGTCGAACCCGAGCGAAGGCTACCCTAGCTATGCAGGTTATTCACGCGAACATGGAGAGGATGGTCCAGACGTTTCCACGCCAGATGTTGTAGGAGCTCCTGGCAGCCCGGAGAGCAGCAAGCCATACCCTGGCTACCCCCATGGAAACCCCGATCAGTCCGGCGGTTATCCTGGCTACCCCGGAGGCTACTCTGGCTATGCAGGCTATCCACGTGAACATGGAGAGGATGGTCCAAACGATTCCACGCCGGACGTTGTGGGCGCTCCTGGCAGCCCGGAGAGCAGCAAGCCATACCCTGGTTATCCCGAAGGAAACCCCGGTCAGCCCGGCGGATATCCTGACTACCCCGGAGGCTACCCTGGCTATGCAGGTTATCCACGTGAACATGGAGAGGATGGCCCAAACGATTCCATCCCGGACGTTGTGGGAGCTCCTGGCAGCCCGGAGAGCAGTAAGCCATACCCTGGCTATCCCCATGGAAACCCCGGTCAGCCCGGCGGCTATCCTGGCTACCCTGGAGGCTACCCTGGCGATGCAGGCTATCCGCGTGAACATGGAGAGGATGGTCCAGACGATTACACGCCAGATGTTGTGGGAGCTCCTGGTAGCCCGGAGAGCAGCAAGCC